TATATATATATATATATCCGTGTGTGTGTAAATTACTTGTATCTGATGATGACAAAACCTTGTCGAAACGTTGTACATTTGCTGTTATATTAAACTTATATTAAAGTTTTTCTTCATTACCCATTCAAGCCATCTCCAACCATTAGTAGGTGGCATTTAGTGACCCCAAAAAAAGTTCTGTGATGATTCTTGTTTGTAATTATTTTTTAATATAGTAAGTATGATATTATCTGGATATTTAGAGGAGTTTTGTATACATAAAGGAGAACATTAGATAATTCCATTGTAGGAAACAAGCTGGTTTTGTTGAATTGGTGCTTTTGTAGTAAATTAAACCAAACCAGATCATTTTAATGTTTGTATTTTAAACCAGACTAGCTATGGTAACTATCCTTGCCACAGCAAACAGTGAAGCTGACAGAGTATAAAAATGACTTTTTTCAGTAAACGCAACTATATTGCACGTAATATTAATTGTAGTGTTTACTAAGTTGATTAGTAGCTTTGGTACACTTTCTAAAAAAACAAACAAAATTAGGCTGATTCATTTATTGAGTATTCATATTATACAGGTTTATTAATGTGTTCAGAAATAATTTAATATATTGATTGTGATATACATTATATTATACTTTCAAGTCTGATAATTGTTTTGTATTTGTACATGCTTTATGTGTAGGTGAGCCTAAGAAACATTCACATTATGATGTGACAAATGAATGTTTGTTGAGAGCTGGGAACATTAGTTCCCTTACTGGAATGGTGGAAACTGTTCATGGCTGATTTCTCCACTATGTACATCTTGACATATAGTGATTTCCTGTGAATTATGCCTTAAGCTATATTAGACAAGTTTTAATCAATTACAGTGGTTTAACTCCTTTAGACTCTGAGCTATTCTGGACTAAATGTAGCAGTGCAGAATTAAACTTAGGGGAAAATATCATATAAAAAATGGAGCTTGTGAGCAATTTACGAGTTTTGAAACTTTTTGACTTTTCATTAGTTGAAGTTTTTAAATGTCAAAGAAACATTTATAACACAAAACTTGTATTTTACTTTTATGGTACCCTTAGAAGGCCAGACATAATTAAAGGAAATATCAGTTCTTGTGTATTCTGGACAAACTTTAATTACTAAATGTTTGCTGGCAAGATATTGAGGAACTTTGAGCACAGGTTCTCGTTATTAGTTTGTGATGTGTTAATCCAAAACTTTTCATTCGAATATTGTCTGTGTAAGCTCTTTATGGAAAGAAAAAAGATGAAGCAATCAGATATTATGTGGTAGAATTACAAATAAGAACTTTTAATACTACCTTACTATAATTACAACTGTAGCTTCCTGGAATTATAATGAAAACTGAAGAAGGACAATGATGACAAATTTATAATGAACCAAGCAGTTAAGATAATCAAATGATACATTGTCTGTTGAGTTTACCTAAATTTTAAGAAACTAAGATTAGAAAACCCATAACATCAGTAAATATTGGATAGACTTGATACACATGTAATGAGTCATAAAGCTTTCACTTAAAAACAGGAATAGAAAGGGAACATAGCAATATTTTAAAAGAGCTTTTTAGTTGGGTTCTGTTTATTAATAAAAATTTGGGAAAATACATAGATTGTGATATATATATATATATATATATATATAAGCTATTGTTTTGGAAACCCAAAACACTAACTCTCTAATTCTTTTCCTTTATTAATCAATATACGAACATTGAATATTACAACATGTTTATTTTTCTCCACCTAAACTAAGTGTAACAATTTAATATAATATTGAAGCTACTAGAACAACAAACATGTACGTGCTTCCATCTGTCAGTGCTGATGTTTATAAAATATTTGGGGTCCATGAAGACCCCGGAAGACTAACCCAGAGTTAAAGCTAATTTCCAAATGGTTTGTCTCATTCTAAAAATTTTACCCCCAAAGTATTATTATCTAAATAATTTATGATATCAAATAGAGGGCTTCTGTATCCCCAGTGCATGGAACTTAGGATCCCTAAGTAGCTTGAGTGGCTTAAACTGGAATATATGATATAAAAATCTATATAGAATTGGAATGTATTATTTTATAAATCTATGTATCATCTTCATCTGTAATCATGTTAGAAATTTTAATAAAATTACACACAAATCAACCACGCATGGTTTACAAGCATGGTAAAACATGACTGAAAGGCATTGCTCCAAACTTTTATATATACATAATGGCCTGAAGATAATATTGGATGTTTCACCTTCAGTTTGGCTTGTTGTGAACTCCTGGTGTCCCTGCTGTTCAAGGGCCTGCTTACTGATATTTCATCATATTTCAAGAATTGTGAAAGATCTCGATGTTGAAAATGATAGATTTGGTTATTTCTATATGTATTCTGGAATTAATGAAAAGGATTTTTATATAAAGTTAAAGAACAGATTATTTCTGTATAGGATTAGTGCTTTCTTTTTGATTTCACTTTAATGTTCCACAGAGGAAATAAACTTATCTTAATCAAAACAGACAAGTTCCATAAATTTAGTTAAATTCATGAAACATATAAAAGCCAAACGAAGGAGCTAAATTGTAATTATTAGTGATTTTTACACTATTTTACATTACACAGAGCTTGTCAATTAATTTTTACATGAGTAGATTGTTTAGTCCATTAATATGCTTGTCTGTTCAATGATGAAAAGTACTTGTAACTTATACAAACTCAGTGAATTATTAAGAACTATAAAAAGACCAACTTCAGGTTCTGTTCATAATGACAGTCTGGAGAATGGTGCTTAAAATGAGCAATGTGCAAGACATTCTAACTGTGTTTATTTGTAATCACTGATAGTTTATAACAGTTCTGTTAAGATGGCTCATTAAAAGAGTATTTCTAACAACTTGCAGGACTTTCTAACTGTGTTTATTTGTAATCACTGATAGTTTATAACAGTTCTGTTACGAGTATTTCTAACAACTTGAAGGACTTTCTAACTGTGTTTATTTGTAATCACTGATAGTTTATAACAGTTCTGTTAAGAGTATTTCTAACAACTTGCAGAACTTTCTAACTGTGTTTATTTGTAATCACTGATAGTTTATAACAGTTCTGTTAAGAGTATTTCTATCAACTTGCAGGACTTTCTAACTGTGTTTATTTGTAATCACTGATAGTTTATAACAGTTCTGTTATGAGTATTTCTAACAACTTGCAGGACTTTCTAACTGTGTTTATTTGTAATCACTGACATTGTATAACAGTTCTGTTAAGATGGC